GATATTTAATAAATTTAAAAAAAAATTGTCAATGAATTCTCACAAATAAATTTTGACTGTCAAGCACAATAAAAAACGTGCCAAAGTAATGTGCTAAAGATGGCTCTGAGCTACAGTATACTCCTCCCAATCAACACCATTACAACTGATGATACAGTTATTGACAAAACTTGTTAAGTGTGGGTGCCTTCTCTATGGATGGAGGATACTCATTAGCAGCATATGCGACCTTGGAAGAGGAAGATGATTATATGTGTGAAAAAATAAAGTGATTGCACGATAATTAAATAATAATTAAAACAGAATTCATACGTTACTTCCACCTGTATGTCTGTTCTATCTATATATAATTATCAAAGTACAGGCCACAAAGCCATTTACAGCCTTTAATCAATTAATTGCTTTGTTTAAATGAAGAATGTATTTTCACTCTATACTTAACACATGCCTTGTGACCGAGGGTAATATACACACAGCACCATAAGAACAAGAAACAAGAAAGTCTCACCTGAATCCCAACACTGCATGTCAGCAGCATGGGTGGAGACGCAAGGTGTGAGTGGTGCTTTTACAATCAGTTTTACCAGAAACCAGCATCCTCTCTTCTCTCTTCCTGTTTTATATAGTAAATCCCTTCCCACAGGGCCTATTAGTCAATTACACCTGAGTACTACTGTTTAATAAGGGCTGAAAACATACCTGAGTTCCCAGCATCAAACACTTCCTTTGCTCTACATTTTTTCTGTGGTATACAGTAATGAGTGAAGTGAAGGTGTGCACGTGTCTGCGTGTGTGACATTCAGAAAAAAGAGGAATTATTCATTAGCTCTCTATTTCGCTCTTTCAGCCTCCCCCCTGATCCTCACGCTCAACAACTCTGGGGCAAATGCAGAATTGCAAATTACCTCCTGGAAAAATCGAATTAATTGGCCATCCTCATAGGCAGCTAAGTTTGGGCTGATGTGTCAACCATTCCCCTAGAACTCCAATCAGAGCAAAACTTTGTGAACTGACTTCTCCTAAAACAATAACTCACCCAGCTAGGCAACTGTCACTTTGCCTTCTCTGCAATTTCAAAATCAGTCAGTGTCAAATTAGAAGTCAACTCCTGTGGGATTTCTGAATAATAGGCTCACTGTGGTTTTACTCACTTTCAAAACTGAAAAATATCCATGGGATTCTGCAGAATAAGTAGAATTCCGTAGTTCTCCCTACAGTGGTGGGTTTCTTGACGATTATTCCTTGTTTACACTATATATCACGATTGATTAAATATGCGCCTAGTGATTTCATCACACCTCATCAAACACTGAGAGCTGGAGTGGACCAATAAAGTGACCGAAGACATGTTGTCCAGTCTGTATGCAGAGAAGCTCTTGAGAGCTGTAAGCATATGGGTGTGTACTGTGTTGGAACAAGCCAGTAAGAACAGAACAGAGAGCAGTTGCTGGTATCCAGGGCCAACATTAGTCTTAGATCACCATCTAGTGTTGAATTAATGTATTTCAGATGTATATGTCTAGAGTTTATGATAGGTTTGGCCCAGTTTTAAAACACGGCTGGACGAGCCCCTAATTGTCAGGACTCGGCTCAGAAATAGAGGGAGACGCTGGTTGAAAGCAAAAAATTATCTGACAACAAACATAACACAAACTAAATAGGTAATGAGGTATGTTCATCAGTGGAATCAGAAGTGAGGGTGCATGGGGCGTGTGTGATGCAGAGATAATATTGAATGGATCAGAACAAAGCAACGCCTATACACGGAAGTCAGTTGAGTGAGAGAGAGAGCAAGTCTCAGCCAGGAGGATGGGTTTTTACAGCAGGGAGAACACCAGGCCCAGGTGCTTCCAACTACCAGTGTCTCCGCCCACCAGTTACCTGGTGTACATCAGGTAGAATGGGTTAAATAAGACAGGGGCCATCAGTTTCTATGTGTAAAATTCATAATGCAAATAGTCAAACCTTACCTTTAATCACAAAATGCTGTTCTTATAACCAAAGTGCAAAAAAATATATCACATGTTCAGTCATTAGAATGCAGTTAACTCATACAAGCCTAAACTGACTCAGGCAATGGAATACGAATCAATGCTACATTTCCAAGCATCTTCCACACATTTCGGCAAATATTTCACTAAGCTTACATTACAACTTAAATATATGACAGTCGAGGAAAGACAAACAAACAAAAAATAAAAGCATCTACTTTCCTTTCAATTACTTTTACAGTGTATGGTTTGGTTTCATGTCCACCATCACAGTATTATCTGTAGTACATACAACACATTGAACCTCATTAATATAATCATGACCACTTTATTATGGTGATGACAATGATAAACACTGTGATGTTTAAAACCCTCTGCTTCATCTTCTACCTAACTTTATACAGGTATTTTAGATTCCTGTGCAAGATTTTAAGGTATTGCTTTTGATTTTAAGGTAGTGTTTTGCTTTTGAAACTGGTGAAAATTGAGCCAAAACAATTCATATATAATAACAAAGAATTATTTAAATCAAGTTCTAACATTTAAAGACTCTTATAATCAAAAAGAGATCCTGTAAATATTCATGATAGCAAAAAAGCTGACTACAAAACAAAGGCCTGAGCACCAGAGTAGAGATAAAGGTCACAAACATCTCTCTAAATGTCTTTATCACTGAGTACAACTTCATTTAATTTAATCTTTCATGGATGCAGATATTTTAATGCAAAATTAGAAATTAGAAAAATTAGAAAGTTTTGTCTGGGCCCAATGTACTACACAAACTGGTAGTTTTTTGAAAACTATCTTTCCGTTGTTTAGAGTACAGAACGATATTTACATGCAAACATGAGCCACACTGCACAAACATTCTCTGGATACACAAACACCCGAGCTCGTACCGCCAGCCGCACATGGTCGCCACGGCAACTAACTATTTCCTGACAGAACGGAGACCTGCACAGAAAGAGACAAGAAATATGAGGTAGTGCAAAGTTTTTTTTACAAATAAATAGATAACATCAAGTATGGGCGTTTCCTTTGCCTAGAAGCAATAGATTCACAGACAATTTACTTACACATAATAGACGATTGTGTGACTTTTGAGACATATTTCAGTCTATGATGTTACTGAAATCTGTCAGCAGCATTGTATTGAATTCTGTGCATGCATCTATGTACTGTTGCTTTATGTTGCTCTATTTACATAAACTCTCTTAAAGGGATAGCTTACCCAAAAATAAAAATTCACTCATTATCTAAATGTCCACTAACTGAAGTAGCGAAGCTACTGGAACTAGCGATGCTGTCGTGCACCACATGGTGAGAGCTTGTGTGCAGTGTGTGCATGCAAACGTGAAGGCAGTTCCAGAGGATATCAGGACATTTTATTCTAACACTACTGTGTAAATGGTGCCATTTTGAGTCGAATATGAATGTCAGGGCTATCCTACACTTGGATGACACCACACGAGCAGTATAGAAGCATCTTTTGTTGAAAGAAGGGGTCACCATCTACTACAATTGTATTGGATTTGGCAGCAAAGCTGTTTACCCCTTTTTACCCCCAAAAGTGCTTTGTTGACTCAAACACTTAACCCACCCCGCCATCGGCAGAGTGGTAAGTACATAATGAACAAACTTGAATGTTTTCTTTAAGTCTTTTGCAAACATGACCTCCAGAGAAACTCCAGAGCATTGGGTCTGGACTTTCTCCAGAGGTTTCCTTTCACACATGCAAAACGCAGCAGGAGATTTTCTGCTCAGACGCGCTCACAGCAGCAACAATTTCTCCAGAGGATTCAGGTGACGGATGGTGCAGTAGGCAGAGGCAGGATGTTACATATTGATTCTGCTGCGGAGATCGTTTTTTAGTTTACAGCATCGACACCTGCGATGGCTCTTATCACTATATACTCTCTTGATATCTTTCTCAGTGTTTTCTACCTATATAGCACTGCACGTCTGTCGTCATCAACCCAGCATTTAACTTGTTAAACATTTTCCATGCACATACACACTGCTCCTATATAGTATATTTACAAATGTATCTTACCTGAGGCAAGTAGCAAAGGCTCTACGAGCACTGCGGTGCAGGAAGTGTCTTGGGAAGCCTTTGAATGTGTGTCCATCTGGCACTGCCCTCCTCACTGCATCCTGGAACTCCTCATTGCCACAAGACACACCAGTGCAGCGCTCAAGCTCATAGGCTGATAAAGCAGAGGAGAGCAGGTAGGACAGGTGATCATCCCACACTGTTGCCAGCTCCAGGTCCTAAGGGAGGGAGCACCACAGAGCCCATCATCAGCTCATTACATTACATGTTAGGATAAATCCCCTAACATGTTTCTTACCAGTGGCTCTTTAACACAGAATATAAAACTTCAGCAGCTCTCGGTCTCTCAATTAAAACAGTCACAAAAGACCCAGGGCCTGTACTACGAGCGAGTTCAACATACCCATGATATCTTTCCGATATCCTGGTGGAACTTGACCTAACAATGGCAGACAGGCTAGGCGGTCACACAAAGCTGGTTATCAACTCGTTAAGTAAACCCAGGTTTGCCTCATCAAGATTCGATCGCGTGCAAAAAAGGGGCGGGGATTACAGCATATGAACAATGTGTAGGTTATGGAGCCATTTGGGAAAAAAAATTTTTTTGCGAAATCGACATAACGATAAATGAAGCTGTTTTACTAAGAAGACCTGTGGAACTGAACTGAAGATGGCTTGTTGATGAGAGATGAAATGTTTCACTTAATCACATGACGTAGCTTCTATAATGAGTTTTAGTTTGACACACACTGTCTGCACTGACTCTGAGGACACATTGTGGTAAAAACTTGAAATTACTAGTCAATAAAACATATGGAACTATTTTTGTACGCCATGGCGCAGGGAGCGTGTCTGTGCGCATTTGGAAAAAGGGAGAGATTGAGATGTGCTGGGTTAGTGCCGGGAATTGACTTAACCAATCAGACAATGTTTTATACTTCCCTTATCCTCGCTTTTGAACAGTGTGGTGTCATTTTGGTGAGGGCTGGCTGTTCGAGTCTTCAAGAGAGAGGGGAGCGAGGGAGGCTGGGGGCTGTCTCAAGGTAAATCTGTAAACTATCTATCCCCCATTCCAAGTAAATATTTATTTCATTGGATAAACCTACTTAAAGAGACGGATAAGAGTAAAAAACTATGTTTGGTTTTTCCACCGCTAACACACCCACTGCATAAATATAAGTAACTTCAACAACAGGACCTCAAGTGGGAGTTGAACATCAGCTCCCTCATCAAGAAAGCTCAGCAGAGGATGTACTTCCTGCGGCAGTTGGAGATGAAGAAATTCAACCTGCCAAAAACAATGATGGTGCACTTCTACACAGCCATCATTGAGTCCATCCTCACATCCTCCATCACCATCTGGTACGCTGCTGCCACTGCCAAGGACAAGAGCAGACTGCAGCGTGTCATTCGGTTGGCAGAGAAGGTGATTGGCTGCAATCTACCGTCGCTCCAGGACCTGTGCACCTCCAGGACTCTGAAGTGTGCAGGAAAGATGGTGGCTGATCCCTCCCACCCTGGTCACAAACTCTTTGAGACACTCCCCTCATGGCCTTATCAACAAGGCCCGGAACCCAGCCTGACACTCCACCTTCACACTCCACCTCAGCTATATACTTGTATTGGAAATACTCTGCATACTGTGAACACTGTACTTACTCAACTGTACTGCTCTTCCTATTTTTCCTTTTTTACCTTCAAAAACATACTGTGTATATATTTTTATATTGTTAAATTTTAATACTTGATTTTTTTWAATCTTGTTATATTTAGAGATGTCTGACATGCACCAACAACATCAAAACAAATTCCATTTATGTGTAAACTTACTTGGCAATAAAAGCTTTTCTGATTCTGAACAAGTAAAGAAACATAGATCAATGCAGTGAGTCTGTGGTACTGTGAGCACATTGCTCCTACGTGTCAGTCCATGTTCAGCTCCAGCAGCTGACAAAAGGTTTAATATTCCCTCTGATGAGAATCTATATCTTTTATAAAGACACTCATCGTCTCTCTGAAGACCCTTGTCCTCCTCAGAGACCCTCGAACAAGCCGTGCACCAAGCTACATGGGATAATTTTTTTTGCTCCACGGGATCTTACGGAGATGTCATGTTTCAAATGAATTGATTGGTCAGTGGACAGAGATTTTTATACTGGTTGATCTCTTATCTCCAACTTCAATCAAACAATCAAATTTTATTTGTATAGCCCATATTCACAAATCACAACTTGTCTCATAGGGCATTAACAAGGTGTGACATCCTCTGCCCTTAAGCCTCAACAACAGTAAGGAAAAACTACCTAAAAAAACCTTTTAACAGGAGAAAAAGAATGTAGAAACCTCAGAGAGAGCCAAATGTGAGGGATTCCTCTCCCAGGACGGACAGAAGTGAAATAGATGACATATGTAATGGAGAACGTCAAAGAAATAGGAGTAATTAATGCCCCTGAGCAGGTTAGCTGTTCATCATAAGTTACCATGGTGATTTATCCCCTTGTTTTAGAAGTGAACAAGCTTTGTAGGACTGAAAACCCTGAAATAAACCTGAAGTTACCCCAGTAACCGCAAATCCTGATTTGGACTACAGGCCCCAGGTGAGTTAGAAATCATCTTATAGTGTTGAGCTGAATGTTTTACCTTCCTGTGTTCCGAAACCAGGTAGCGCATCTCAAACTCCAACTGGTTGCTAGATGCAGCAGGATCCAGAGATGGGGCACAGAGCGAAGGTTGAGGGGGCAGAGAGGAGACTGAGCCTGGGGCGCAGACAGACTTCAGAGCATCTTCACTCATCGCCTTCCAACAAGATTGATTCTTCAGGAAATAAAGGAGGAAAAAGGAAGCGATGAATTAGATCTATGGAGAGTTTGATGCTGCACGAATTAAGATTTTCATTTCAAACTAATTTCAACAAAACCAAGACACTAACACAATACCTACAAACAAAACAAATGTGGGCAGAACTGTGGTGTAAAAACCATGATGTCAATGTAAAAATTATATAATCTGAGATGGATCACAGTAAATGTAAGGGACACCATGCTCCTACCTGGAAGTCAAAGACACAAAGCTCTACAGCATCAGATGGCTGGCAGTTGGCCAGGAAGGTCTGGTGGTTGAAGACACAACCCACAGTGCGGTAGGGGGATGAGGGTTTGGGCTGTGGGGTCAGAGGCGGAGCTTCTGGGTCAATGGCCTGATGGAGGTATCTGACCACAAATACTCAGTCCAATTAGAAACCCACACAATTGTTGGTATAATTAAAATAGCACACTTTCAAATGTATCTCTTCAGAGTTATGCTGTATAAATATATAAAATTAAATAAAACTGTACTGTAAAGCACTATGAGTGCCATAATCATGTGACAGGCCGATTTGAAATCAGGTCCTAATTATCTCCAGGGTTAAAGCTCAAACACAACATCTAATTAACAAAATCCCAGAAGTGGATAAAAACAAAAAGTTGTTCTTTGGCCCAAAGCCTGGTCAACAAATTTCATGGAAAACTGTTCACAGGATTCAGAGATATCCTTCCGACAAACACAAACTTTGACAAAAGAGGCAAACTAAGGCAACAACAAAAACTGAGTGTAGTTAAAATAATTTTTTAGGCCTGTAACACCACATTATGCAATAACAACACATTATGTAATAAAACT